GTGTGTGTGTGTGTGTGTGTGAGAGTGTGTGTGTGTGAGAGAGAGAGAGAGAGAGAGAGAGAGAGAGAGAGAGAGAGTGTGTGTGGGTGAGAGAGTGTGTGTGGGTGTGTGTGTGTGTGTGAGAGAGTGTGTGTGTGTGAGAGAGAGAGAGTGTGTGTGTGCGTGTTCTAACGTTTTGCGGGGCAGCAGCAGGTCTCTGGGCAGCAGGGGCAGCGCACGTAACAGCAGCACTTCTGCGGACAGCACTGGCAGCAGCAGATACACAAGAGGATGATGAGCATCAGTGTGCCGAGGATGATGAGGAGAACCGTCAGCCAATCTAACAGAACAAACCAAACACAGATTCAGCTCATCTGCACACATCAGTCCAGGGTTTTCACTCAAGTTCTACACTGCAAAACAAATCTTACTTCGTATTTTTGCGAAATGACAAGATATTTAGTCTTGTTTCCAGAGGGAAGTGAATTTTGCTTAAAACAAGTAAAAAGATCTGCCAGTGGGGTGAGAAAAATAATCTTGTTTTAAGAGTAATTTCCTTACATCACTGTCAATTCATTTTAAATGTTTTAAGCAAAATGCACTTAATTTAGTTTTTTCCCCCACCGGAAACAAGACTAAATATCTTATGTCATTTTGCTTCTCTAGTACATGCAACTTGATTTAAGAATTTTTTGATATTTTGACTAGAAACAAGACAAAAATACTAAGTAAGATAAGCCTTTCTTTGCAGCGTAGTCATCTGCTGCTTTATATGATGTTGTGTTTGTCATTTCTCTGATGTGATTATTCTATGATTGGTCCTAATCCTGTGTGTTCACGCAGCTGGTGAACAGACAAGCATTCAGCACAAAGCTGCCATTTGCTTTGCTTCCTTCAAGTTTTGTGATTTGACAGATTATGTGTGGTGGTTTATTAGTGTCTCTATAGGCTGTAACTATAGAGACACTGAATCTCACCTGAGCCAAATTACAGGAGGGTAAAAATGACTCCAGAAAGATGGCAGCATTATAATGTTACTTTTACACAGAGATTGGTAGGTCTGTTAGTAAAATCTGCTGACTTTAGCAATCTTTGTTGCATTATGTGCCAATGGTGACCATTCAAAAATGGGGAAAGAGCAGTTTTCCAGTCTTTTCTCCAACGTTTGCAGACCTGTAACTCAAAAGGTATTAAAGATAACTCCGTAAATATTGACACGGAAAGACCCAATTATAAGCAGACTGTTTGTACATTCATGATCTCTGGAGTCTTGTTGAGGTGACATTTTTTTTCTTCTGCCGTGTTTAATGGACACACTCCTGAGTTAGTAATCAGGTCATTCACTTACGGTACACGATGAGCTTCATCTCTTGGTCTGAATCTCCGCCTGTGTCTCCAGGTGCTTCCACAGCGCAGAAATACATCCCATTATCCCACCACATCACCTCCTGAATGACCAGATCAGCCTCTGACAGCACACACACACACAGAAAATGAGCCTGTCATCACCGCAGGAATATCTATACTGGGACTGCAATGACTAATCTATATAAACAATCATTCATGGAAAAGAAATTTGCTGACAAAAACAAACAAACAAATTGATTAGTCAGGTCTCCACCAGTTCACTTTGCAGTAGGACTAAAATTTGATATCTTGTTGTTGTTGTTATCAGGTTCAATTCTAGTTTATTATAGTTCACTATTACTCAGGTTTGACTCTAGATCACAATCGCTCAGGTTTGATTCTGGTTCACTACAGTTCAGGTTCAATTCTAGTTTACTGTAGTTCACAATCGCTCAGGTTTGATTCTAGTTTACTATAGCCTAGTTCACTATCACTCCGGTTTGATTCTGGTTCACTATCGCTCAGGTTCAATTCTAGTTTATTATACTTCACTATCACTCAGGTTTGATTCTAGTTTTATTATTATTATAGTTCACTATCACTCAGGTTTGATTCTGGTTCACTATCACTCCGGTTTGATTCTGGTTCACTATAAGTTCACTATCGCTCAGGTTTGATTCTGCTTTTGGTTAACTATAAGTTCACTATCGCTCAGGTTTGATTCTGGTTCTTTATAGTTCACTATTGCTCAGGTTTGATTCTGGTTTTATTATTATTATAGTTCACTATCGCTCAGGTTTGATTCTGGTTCTTTATAGTTCACTATCACTCAGGTTTGATTCTAGTTTTATTATTATTATAGTTCACTATCACTCAGGTTTGATTCTGGTTCACTATCACTCCGGTTTGATTCTGGTTCACTATAGTTCACTATTGCTCAGGTTTGATTCTGGTTCACTATCGTTCAGGTTAAATTCTAGTTTACTGTAGTTCACAATCGCTCAGGTTTGATTCTGGTTCACTATAGTTCAGGTTTGATTCTAGTTTACTATCACTCCGGTTTGATTCTGCTTCTGGTTCACTATCGTTCAGGTTCAATTCTAGTTTATTATACTTCACTATCACTCAGGTTTGATTCTAGTTTTATTATTATTATAGTTCACTATCACTCAGGTTTGATTCTGGTTCACTATCACTCCGGTTTGATTCTGGTTCACTATAAGTTCACTATCGCTCAGGTTTGATTCTGGTTCACTATAGTTCACTATTGCTCAGGTTTGATTCTAGTTTTATTATTATTATAGTTCACTATCACTCAGGTTTGATTCTGGTTCACTATCGCTCAGGTTTGATTCTGGTTCACTATAGTTCACTATTGCTCAGGTTTGATTCTGGTTCACTATAGTTCACTCTGGTTCACTATAGTTCACTATTGCTCAGGTTTGATTCTGGTTCACAATTTCTCAGGTTTGATTCTGGTTCACTATCGCTCAGGTTTGATTCTGGTTCACTATCGCTCCGGTTTGATTCTGGTTCACTATAAGTTCACTATCGCTCCGGTTTGATTCTGGTTCACTATAAGTTCACTATCGCTCCGGTTTGATTCTGGTTCACTATAAGTTCACTATCGCTCCGGTTTGATTCTGGTTCACTATAAGTTCACTATCGCTCCGGTTTGATTCTGGTTCACTATAAGTTCACTATCGCTCCGGTTTGATTCTGGTTCACTATAAGTTCACTATTGCTCAGGTTTGATTCTGGTTCACAATTTCTCAGGTTTGATTCTGGTTCACTATCACTCCGGTTTGATTCTGGTTCACTATAAGTTCACTATCGCTCCGGTTTGATTCTGGTTCACTATAAGTTCACTATTGCTCAGGTTTGATTCTGGTTCACTATAGTTCACTCTGGTTCACTATAGTTCACTATTGCTCAGGTTTGATTCTGGTTCACTATCACTCCGGTTTGATTCTGGTTCACTATAAGTTCACTATCGCTCAGGTTTGATTCTGGGTCTTTATAGTTCACTATTGCTCAGGTTTGATTCTGGTTCACTATCGCTCAGGTTCAATTCTAGTTTATTATAGTTCACTATTACTCAGGTTTGATTCTAATTTACCGTAGATCACGATCACTCAGGTTTGATTCTAATTTACCGTAGATCACGATCACTCAGGTTTGATTCTAATTTACCGTAGATCACGATCGCTCAGGTTTGATTCTAATTTACCGTAGATCACGATCACTCAGGTTTGATTCTAATTTACCGTAGATCACGATCACTCAGGTTTGATTCTGGTTCACTATTGTTCAGGCTCAATGCTAGTTTATTATACTTCACTATCACTCAGGTTTGATTCTAGTTTTATTATTATTATAGTTCACTATCACTCAGGTTTGATTCTAGTTTTATTATTATTATAGTTCACTATCACTCAGGTTTGATTCTAGTTTTATTATTATTATAGTTCACTATCACTCAGGTTTGATTCTAGTTTTATTATTATTATAGTTCACTATCACTCAGGTTTGATTCTAGTTTTATTATTATTATAGTTCACTATCACTCAGGTTTGATTCTGGTTCACTATCACTCCGGTTTGTTTCTGGTTCACTATAAGTTCACTATCGCTCAGGTTTGATTCTAAGTTACCGTAGATCACGATCACTCAGGTTTGATTCTAATTTACCGTAGATCACAATCGCTCAGGTTTGATTCTAAGTTACCGTAGATCACGATCACTCAGGTTTGATTCTGGTTCACTATTGTTCAGGTTCAATGCTAGTTTACTGTAGTTCACAATCGCTCAGGTTTGATTCTGGTTCACTATAAGTTCAGGTTTGATTCTAGTTTACTATAGCCTAGTTCACTATCACTCCGGTTTGATTCTGCTTCTGGTTCACAATCGCTCAGGTTTGATTCTGGTTCACTATAAGTTCACGATCGCTCAGGTTTGATTCTGGTTTACTATAGTTCACTGTCACTCCGGTTTGATTCTGGTTCACTATTGCTCAGGTAGGCATATATTTGCATCTGTCTGTGAAGGTCAGATGCACAACTATTAGTCCAGCAGCATTCCTCAGACAATAAAGCAGTACAAAAGTACAGACTTATTAGTCGCAGTAACGTAGCATGTCAAGCATCCACTCACTGTTCTGAACGTAGATTTTTCGATCTCTATACTCGCTGCCCAGCACTGCCTCGTTGGATCCCAGTTTCTGAACCACGGTTCGGATGGTGCGTTGCGAGTCCACGCAGTCATTGGCAGGGTCTCGACCCAACTGAAGGGCCGACTGGTACGCTGCAGCACAACAACAATACATGCACATTAGCACTGGAGGGGTTGTGTTGATGTGATGACAACAATGTCACAACAGCTAATTAAAGTTCTGGTGTTAAACATGTAATCCAAAGTTCAATCCAAAACATGTTTTCCTAATTCTACTCTGGCAACAGATCTGGATGGTGAATCTGCACACACAAACGCATTTCTGTTTTGTCCCCACCACTTTATGAATCCACTCATGACAGAGATTTTGCTCTGATGCATCACCATCACAGCGGAAACACTTCCACACACCTCACACAGACATAACAGAAGATGATGTGATGCTAAAGCTCTACCTGTGGAGTAGTAGTCCAGAACAGGGTCTTTGCAGAAGGATTTGTATCTCCAAGTGACCACCACATTCTGCAGCTGAGCGGAGGTGGAGAAATCACAGCGCAAGACGACCGATGCGAAGAGAGTCGTGCGCTTCTCTGTCTCAGAGAGGGTGACCTGGATAGACAGAATCCCTGAAAGAACGGAAGCGAAAGTGTGTTAATGTTTGTGTGTGTTTGAGTGAGAGACAGAGACAGAGACAGAGAGAGTTAGTTAACACAGAAACACACAGATTGCCAAACCTGTAAAACTGGTCATGAGACAAAGAGCAGGAAATTCTTAACTAGTTCCAGACAAATACAGCATTAGTGTCTAACATGTTTATAGATACATATTCAGCAAAATATTTGTGGAAACGTCATTTCTTTGAATCTCTTGCTTTTCATATGAACTTTCAGTCATGACCACTGCATTTGTATGTTAATTATTTGTTTTTCTTTTTTTATTTCTCTAGAGTCCATATTTTCTTATTCTTGAGTGCTTTTTTTACACATGTATATCCCATCAGTCTTTCGATGTTTGTACATTTTTAAAAATTGGATTCTTTGTATCAACAATAGTAGGTCACGTGACCGATACGGACGCGCACAGGTGACACTTGTACCTGTTTCCATTGATCAACCTTCACAAAGTCCTTATATTATTGGCTTTCTGGCAGTGAAACGGACAGATGCGTGTGTGTATGAGATGTTCCGTGTGAAGCTCAGACTCACCTGGGGTCAGGAGACTCAGAAGCAGCGCAGACACGATCATCTTCCTCATGATGATCTGATAAACTCCAGAAACCACGAACCGAAACCAGCGCGAGTGTAAATCTGAAGAAAGTGACGGAAGAGAGCTCAGTCAAAACTGCATTTTCTCCAAGAAGCTTTAACGTTTAGTTGCGTCTCTCAGAGTCCGGTTTGTGTTTCCTCTGCTCTCCTCTTCCTCCCCTCGTCATCATCATCAGTACTCCACCCACAAACAGGTACATCACACAGCGCGCATGCGCACAGGTGTCTGCGCGCACAGGTAACACGAGCAGCCCGCGAAACTTCATTAAAACAATGATAAATATGCGTCCAATTTGTTAGGATGTCTGTATGTAAACACACTTTTACTATGAAGTTTGTCTCATTGTGTTTTCTTACAAACAAATCTAATCACTCACATTATGATCAACATCACTGTAACCCTGCTGAAAAAAACAATAGACACCACAGAATGTGTAATGGTTATACTGGTTGTAATGGGACTTACTCTCTACTGGTGACTGGTCATCTTCTGTCGGTGGCTTGAAAAAAAAAAAAAAAATCCTAATGGAATATGTCCCAAAACACGCTACAGAAAACCATTCTTAATGGTTAAAAGTTGATGGTATTTGTAAAGGAAACCATTAGAATTTTCTGTGATGGTTCTATTGTTTTTTCAGCAGGGATATCACTTTTTAATATGTAATGTACAGTGGGTATGGAAAGTATTCAGACCCCCTTAAAATTTTCATGATACAATCTCTGAGGCAGCGGCTCTTAAAATTGGATGAGAAAATTAATATCCAGTAAAAAAAAAAAATCACTTTTTCTGAAAATCCTTTCTGTAAGTGTCCTACAGCGACAGCAGTTTCAGACGGGTGAGGAGAGTAATGTTTTAGGCACAGGCTTTGCTTTAGTAGTTTGGGAATGTAATAACCTCATATGTTATCCGAGACTGCTGGGGTTTGGTAGGACAGCAGAGTTTCTCTGACATTTTATCATGATTTTCTCTCAACAGGCTTTGAAAGAAACACGTTCAGTTTGTACCAGCTCAATCCATATAAACAAAGAATCCAATCAACTCGAGAGGAATCAGATCTGAAGGTGACATTCATACATCATTAACGCCTTCACTCACTCACCCCCAGAATACATAAATGACAAGAATTTGTTAATTTATTTGAATAAATAGTATGTTAATAATATTAACATAATATACAAACGATGTCATAGTGCTGTTTGCTGATAGTTTCAGGCAGATTAGTTTTCTGTTCGTCCAGCACAGGCCTGAGATCAGCTGAAGATCCTGGTGTCTCCAGCAGATGGTGTGAGATAATCACTGATCTCTGGCCCTCAGACCCAGCATCCGAGTCTCATCAGCAGTGCTGTGGGTGTAACCTGACCACACACACACACACACACACACTTTAACACACTCTCACACACACAAAAGGCCCTATCATACACTCTGCGCGACAAGTATTTTTTGCTAGTTTCAGCCCGACGCAGTTATCATTTTCACCTCCTGCGCCACGTTGTTTAAAGGGGTCATATGATGCCATTTCAATTGTTCCTTTCTCTTTGGAGTGTTACAAGCTCTTGGTGCATAAAGAAGATCTGTAAAGTTGCAAAGACTAAAGTCTCAAAACCAAAGAGATATTCTTTATAAAAGTTAAGAGTCAGCCACACCTACCTAAAACGGCTCGTTCTAACACGCCCCCACATGTCTACATCACTATGTGGGAAGATTTGCATAACGCCGCCCAAATGTTCACCCAAAGAAAGAAGGTGTAGCTTTTATTCTCGCTGTAGTATCGTTGCTGCCGCCGCCATGTCGTGAAGGCGCTGTGTGCTTCGTTGTGAAAGCTAAACTACTTTGTTTGGTCTTCCAGAAGAGGACGATATCCGCTTCGTCATGCCTGGAGCTGATCCGTGCTGGTCGCTGAGGAAATACATCAACTTAGTGCTGTGGATCGCCGGATCGGCTTTCACTGTGGACGAAGCAGAGTCCAGCCCGGGGTCGTCACATGTGGTTGCCGCAGGCATCACAGTATGGTGAGGGACATAACATTTCCGTCACACGCTTGAGGTATTCGGCCAATCACAACGCACTGGATAGCTGGCCAATCACAGCACACCTCGCTTTTCAGACGATGAGCTTTGTAAAAATCGACGCGTTTCAGAAAGGCGGGGCATAGAGGAGAAACAATAATGTACAGTATGTGGAAAATAAATGTTTTTTTTAACCTTAAACTGCATAAACACATTTCATTACACCAAATACACCAAATAATGTTCTTTTTAGAAGCATCATATGACCCCTTTGAATAGCAAATGAATTTGCGCTCATTAGTGCGCTCATGGGCGTGCTGATCTGAAAACGAGGTGTGTTCAGGCGCATTGCTGGCGTGTTGCTATTTTGAGGCAACTGAAATAGACCGCGCCATTGACCAACAAAACTTGGTCTAAAGTCTGGCACAATATTTATTTGTTTTGTTATTGAAAGAGTGCGTTAGTATAGGCGGATATACACACAGGGACGCGCAGCGGCACACAAACATGCCAAATATAAAAAATTAAAGGATTACAATGTAAAATATTATTATTGTGTAGGCTACATAAATATAAAAATGCCTACATGTCATAATGGATAGTCATTGCATGTATCAGAATTAGGCTACCTATTTGCTCGCCCACGTGCAGCTCCGTTTCATCTCTGCAGATGCGTTCTGTCTTTGCACTTGCTAATTCTTCCGTGCAAATAGCGAATTCGCCATGGCGCGAGCGCAACTGGCTCTTAAAGAGAATGGGAGATGAGACTCTGATTGGTTTATTGCACGTTACGCCCAAAACACGCCCATTACTCACTTACTTAGAATAGGGACAACCAGTTTAGACCACGCGTCCAGGTGTGCAGACCATTTTTCCCATCATTAAACACACCTGATCCAACTAATCAAGTCCTTCAGGCTTATTTGAAAACTATGTGATATGCGTGTTGGAGCAGGGTTGGAACTAAACTCTGCAGGGCTTCAGCCCTCCGAGAACTGAGTTTGACACCCCTGGCTTAGATCATTAAAATAGGGCCCACACTCACACACACTTGAAACATGTGGAGCAAAATAGCTTTCAGTCTGTCAGTCATCTCATGGAGCATCAGAGCAGGTGTGATATTTACTAAAACATGAGGCTGGAATTACAGTCTTAAGACTTAATGTCTTAGTCATGTCTAATTTTTTTTGTCCATTTGAAGATGTTTTGTAAAGATACATTTTAAATGTTTTGTTGGCTGCACAATCTACAGCAAGAGCTAAATCAGACAACTCTGAGGCCACTCGGGGACGTCGTCATGTGAAAATTATTTGTGAGTGTGTGAGTGTGTGTGAGTGAGTGTGTGTGTGAGAGAGTGAGTGAGTGTGAGAGTGTGTGTGTGTGTGTGTGTGTGTGAGAGAGAGAGTGAGTGAGAGTGTGTGTGTGTGTGAGAGAGAGTGTGTGTGTGTGTGTGTGAGAGAGAGAGTGAGTGAGAGTGTGTGTGTGTGTGAGAGAGAGTGTGTGTGTGTGTGTGTGAGAGAGAGAGTGAGTGAGAGTGTGTGTGTGTGTGAGAGAGAGTGTGTGTGTGTGTGTGTGAGAGAGAGAGTGAGTGAGAGTGTGTGTGTGTGTGAGAGAGAGTGTGTGTGTGTGTGTGTGAGAGAGAGAGTGTGAGAGAGAGAGTGTGTGTGTGTGTGAGAGAGTGAGTGAGTGTGTTTGTGTGTGCGCGCACATGTGTACGCGTGTTTGTGCGAGGTTTCCATCTCAAAACTGTTGTGTTCAGTGCGTCACTATTGTCTAAACAATGAACAAAGAGCCTCATGACTCACACTTACACACACACACTGATTTACAGCGACACAAACACAACAAGAGTGATATAAGAGTTTACAATTACAAAACACACATGAGTCTGTTAGGAGTAGGGTTTGTCAAGTTTTTACTGAAATTCATTTGATGCAGTTAATATAACTGGGTCTGCATACAGATCATACACATATTTCATGAGGCAGCAAACATGTGAAAACAAAAAAAATGTAAACCGTTGCATAAACATGATTTTCAGTCCTCATAGGCAAAATAGTAATTATATTAACCGTTTTCTCAAGTATGGGGATAAAATCACTTTGTTTGGTACAGATAACTTACATAAAGCATGTGTAGAGAAGGCTAGAGTGATTAGTAAAGGCAGTGCAGGTGAAGTCAGTCCTCTAATGATGTCTGATCTCCAGACTGACTCTGGATGAGCTCATCTCGTCTCCAGACGCCTCACACTCAAGCTATTGACACCAACTCAACGTACGGGAGGCTGCTTTTCACTACTAATACTGAAGCGTTAGACTGTAGTCAGCTGCGCGTTATACTGAGACGCTCGTTCAGTGAAAGCCCTTTCTTCTTTATATAACATGATGAGTTTGGCTGATCATTCTGACAAACCACTGAAACCAAATCACTCACTGTAATCTTCTTCTCGATCTTTAAATCTTTGCTCAGCTTTGCTTATGAAGACCAGTGTCATCCCCAAAAATACACAATATCATCATTTGTTACTTAGAAAATAATGGTCTGTATCTTATAATACTGATAAAAGCATGTGTATAACAAGATCTGCAATAATATTAATTAGTTAGCAAGTGTCTTGTTTTTACGAATGTGTGAGATATGTTGTCAGAATGTAACCATTTAGCAGAATTTAACTCCATTCATACAGAGAGAGCACTTTGAGATTATACACGAGATGGAAAAGACTGTCCCGTTTGTTTGAGATCAACAAGATTGCTCATGTTTTTAATTTCATTAAAGTTGTATTTATTTGATCAAAAATACAGAAAAAAACAGTAATATTGTGAAATATTAATAGTATTAGTTTCCTATTGAATTTCCAGTCTTCAGTGTCACATGATCTTCAGAAATCAGTATAATATGCTGATTTATTATCAGAGCTGAAACTGTTGCTGCTTCATATTTTTTGGACCCTGTGATAATTTTTTCTTTGATTCTTCGATGAATAAAAAGTAAAATAAAAAAAAAAAGCATTTACTGGAAATAGAAATCTTTTCAATATAAGTCTTTACAATCACTTTTTATCATTTAACACATCCTTGCTGAATAAACATTTTTTTTAAAAAAGAAAGAAAACCTTTACTGACCCCAAACTTCTGAATAGTAGTGTATATTA